AGAGAGAGAGAGAGAGAGAGAGAGAGAGAGAGAGGGAGAGAGAGAGTAACTGTAGTCATCTGCCAGGTATTTTCTTTCTTTCTTTTTATTTGAAACAGTTTTCCATGATTCATGACGAGTTGTCTTCTGCTGTATGGTAATAAAATTATGTACATGTAATATAAAAAGAGTACAACTTCGCTTTCAACACTCTCGATTGGTTTTTTTTTCTTTGGGTGGGGGTTGGGGTGGGGGGAGGGGGTTAATGAGGCTTCATAAACCATATTCTAAGATCCAGGATTGTAAATAAATATAATTAAAATCAAAGGAACGAAACAGAAAAAATATAGGTTTTAATGTTGATTGGCCCTGGCTGTTTTCTGCCTCCATGGCTCTCATAGCCTGATGTCAGAGAAGTGACACCCTAGCTCTTGCTCTCACTAGCAAAATGGAAGGCTAAAGGGGTAGATCTAGAGGTAGACTAAAAATAATTTATATGCGAAATTCATTAATGGGTGTTGCTTTGCTTGGGGGGGGGGGGGTTGTTTGTTTTAATTGTATCCGAGCAGAGAGATTAAATGACGAAACTTGATCACCCATGTCTTTCAGTTCTGGCACTTGAAGAAACCTAAGCATTAAAAATTATTTTCACTACTTTTTCTTCCTCATGACAGAAAACCCAAGTTACTGACATCATCAGAAACTATCCAACCAAATCACTGATTGAGCAGACGACAATGGAAGTGGCGGTGAAAGCGTTTCTGCAAAGAGCTGACGACAACAGGGAGGTGAGGAGACTGAGCTTGCCCATGGGGCCAGGTGGTGCCATGTTCAAATCCTTGTCTGGCAAAGTGGCTTCAGCGTTCCCAGGTCTGAGCGGGAAGAAGTTTGTGATCACGTGGGAAGGTGAGTTAGACATACTTGTGTTTGATGTTTGTTTGATTGTTTGTTTGTCTGTTTGTTTGTTTGTTTTAAAAATAATACATGAGAGCTCTTAAACGGTAGTATGTGTGTGGGTGTGAGGTTGTGGGGGAGGGATGTGTGTGTACGTGTATGTGTGTTTGCGTGTGTATGTATATATGAAATAATCAAGATAATTTT